GGAACAGTTCTAGGTAATAACCAGATTCAGGAAAGCAGCCTGCTGAAGTGAAGACGAGAATGTCAAGACTGTAAAGAAAAGTAGCCAAGAATGATGACGAGACTTACATGTGAAAAAGTTGGCTATGGGAAGGAACGGGTAAAGTCAGTAGGTGAAAATGAAAGCAAGAGAATGCTGATCTGAATGGTACACAGTGTCAATAAAAGGATTTATATAGGTGGGTGGTAGAGTAACACTATGTAAAGGGAATAAGGAAAAATAAAAATGCTGACACCACCTCTACTGCCATTACTTTGTTCCCTGTGATATTACAGTAAATAAGAGAATCATTATCTTTCCAAAGAGAGCACTGCTGAATCCTAAGAAGAAAGCCAGTTAAGGCAATTGGGTTTTAGTGGAGGACGGTGTCTATAGGATTGATGTTTCACGATGGAATAATTCACAGAGGCACAGTGGGAAGAGCTAAGCAGGAAATTACTGCTCTGTATGTTTATGAAGTTCAAGGCAAGGCAGAAAAATGTTTCCCTGGTCTTTTAAGGTTTCCCATAGTTGGAAAGGAGACAAGTCTCATTTTTAGCAAAGCTACTGTTATATTTTAACTACTTAATTTTCTTCCTAGAAAACAAATACTCTAATTTTATTTTAGGCTCCAATAACTGAAAGGAAACCCCATTGTTAAAACATGTCTTTTTAAATGAGTATACCAGTATTCTGACTATTATCTTACAGGCATTTTAATTTTAAAGCACTTGTTCTCCACAACCTATTCATTATTCTGAAAAACAATTACTTAAATCTTTGGCAGGTTTCTAAACTTGAAATATTTCTTGTTTTTCCTTGCTTTATTTTAATATTAACTTTTTCACTCTGTAAGTTTATAATGATAGCTATCCTATAACTTTGACATAGCACAGTGCCTTTTTCTTGTTTCCACAGAGCATCTTAAGAAATCCAGATGTTTTCGAAGTCCTACTGTATCTTTCTATGCAGATGGATCCATTTTTCTGTTATCTCTTAGCACCCAATATGCTTAGAAAGAATAATACCTTAAATTAGTAAATTTATAGTATTTTATTGTCTACCATATAAACTTAATAGTAAATTTAGATCTCCAGGGTAATTAAAAACTGTGTTTAGTAGTCAGTATCTTGGTAGAATTTTAGTATTTTTATTGACAGTTTATTCAGGTACTTTCAATGACTCTAAAAGTATACTACAATTGTATTTTAAATTTGCACATTATGTAAAATTCAGCTAAAATTGGTCAGTGTAACTTATACACATGGTAACACTTGGACAAAATCTTTGCCTATAAAATAGAAGTGTCATACTAACAGAGAAGAAACGCTAAGTCTAAGGACAACTGAATGCAAAAGAGGAAGTTCTTATGAGGAATGTGGAGCTCTACAGTAAAGATCATGTATACAAATTAAGTTAAATTTTAGTTAACATTAAAAAAATATGTAATCAAAGATAACACTAACTTGTACTAAAGAATTAAAGGAAGAAATCAAGGCTGTAAAGATTTAAGAAATGGAGGACACAATTCATACAGATCAGAAAAAGCAGTTTTGAGAATCTGTCCTTTTCAAAGACCATTCCACCCATCCCAAATGTCAGAGGGAAGGTAGTATTTTCATTATCTTAGGCTACAACATCAAAGCCTGGTTTCTTTTGAATTGATTCTCAATCAACAACAAAGCATGAAAACCAATTACGCAAAGCAGTACCTTCCAACTTTTTCCTCAGGAATACTTAGGAAAATAACATTTATAAGGCAATCAGGAAAGAGAAGGAACTCCAGGCAACCAGCCTGGAGATTCTAGCCGCTTTTAACCTATCCATGGCACACAGCTTGGGAAAAATCTGCAGTATCAAAAGGGTAACCTGGGAAATAAACTCTACCTTTGTAAGCACCATGTAACAAGGAAGTTATTGGTAAGCACTATAGGAAATAATTTCTGATCCTTATGAATGAACAAACCAATGAATGAGCACTGACCCAATTACACAAAATGCTGCCTTCCTAAAAAAAATCCTGGTCAGCCTGCTCTGTATTCGTGCTCCCTTTATTACAAAAAGTACTGAAATACAACCCTTTCAGAACTGTAAGTTAAGAACATTTTTAAAAGAAGTAAATTAAATCAAAGGCTGGAAAGTCTTCCACCCAAGTGCTTTCTTCCTTCTTGAGAAAAGGCATCTTTCTTCTTCATTATTGTTACCAGTATTCTGACTTATAAATACTCTAAAATATTATCTACTATTATTTTATTAGCTGCACAAATAGTTGGCCATAGTACCTTATTACTAATTACCTATCCTTTCTTAAAGGGTACAAAAGGGATATGAGGGGCAGGTATTTCACTTCCCTTCTAGAATTCATCTAAGTTAGAGAATTCTAAGATGTGAAAAATGGACAGAACAGTTTTTAGCAAATCTTTTATATGATTAACTATTACACAGGAACAAGGTTAAAATGCAGTTTACTACCAAGAACGATTTTAAGGAAAACTATTATCAACTTGGGAAGAACTCTGTAAACTTAAGAGACTCAATAGTCACAGAGTACTTTCTTTTTTAGATCAAGAAAACGGATTCAAATAAAAACAATAAATAAAAATATCTATAGAAATGAACATTAATGATCCCAAGATGCAGTGATAATGAAAAAGAATACATACTTCAATTCTGTTATTGCTTCAGAAGTAGCTTGGTCAGAAATGTTATGACCCAGCTGAGACAGCGAATTAATATGCTTATTTCAAGGTCACTGTCCTACTTGTCTTGAAACTCTTTAAGACTTGGCTATTTTCAATTTATAGCCATGTATTATTGCCTCTGCCTTTGATCATAAAAGCCTATATAACCTTAAATGCTTTAACTAATAGCTAATCCCTTTAAGAAAAAAGGCACCTCCAACTGAAAGTGTTTTCCTTTATGTCTACACTGAGATTTATCTATCATCCCTGTTTCATAACTAACAAGCTTCCTCAAGGAGAAATGGTTAGGTGAAACAACAGGTGTTCTGATTCCTAGGTCAGTGCTCCTATCAGAAAATGCTATTTTCTTGATAGTTTATTATCATTTTACACCTTAGGATTAGGGTAAGGGCTCTTTTTTAAATCCTGACATAAGGAGTAAGTTTATGTTCTTTCTGGATCCAGGTTTATTCTCACTAACTTTATGTCAAAGCCTGAGCAACCTCCCAATCCATCAATCAGAGGTATCTCTGACCAGCCTCATTCCTAGTTACACAGATCTAATAATCCCTTATTTAATTATCTTAAAGCAAACCATCCATCTTCTTCATTAATATAGCCACTAGTCTGTTTCACTTCTTTTTCTATTTCACATCTAGGTTATCTCTTCCTTATTGTTATGTCTTGCCTAGCAAGCTTTTTTCTTCAATTATTGCTCCACCTTTGACTTCTTCTCTTTTTCTATCTTTACTATCAAAAAATGCCTTAGATCTCCACTATTTTACTTACTTTCTAAAATCTACAACTTCTCCTCCAGCAACATTCCCCAGTTATCATTAGCTCAGACAAGAACCATTATACTCTAGGACAGGTCACTGCAGACCGGCTCTCAAGAGTCTACAAGCCTTATTCTAGATAAGCCCTAGTATATCCAGCCACTCTTATCCACAGCTGGAACCACCTTCAAATATTTAAACTGTTAGAGATGACAGGTTAAGTTTATTATATATACTTTTGACTTCAACTGGGGTTTCTTACAATTCTAAAACCACATTCTGATTAATTCAGATCCATTATCAGGAGTGAATCATAAAATCACAAAAAAACTAAAGTTGGAATGATTTCAAGAGATTTAGGATAACTCTTCACTTAACTGAGGCAGAAACTAGGGCACAGACAAATTAGGCAACTACTTAATTTACTAAAATAATTCAGTAGTAAAAAATATACAGAAACCAAGAACCAAAATTAAAAGTAGGTTTATTCAAAATGTTCATGTATAAAATAATGATTTAGAACTTAAAACACATTTTCAATAGGAATAACATGGATGCTAAATGGGCTTACAGACCAATCTACAAATAAATATTTAGAAGGAGTTCTAGAAGTTTTTGGCACTTTATTTTCATTTGCTTCTACGTATGCTCTCCTTTTGTTTGATGCAGTAGGTCACTAATATTACTCAGCTTTTCAGATATGGTTAGCATTCTTTCTTGGCTCATAAATGAAATAAAGGAGAAAGAGCTTTCCATACTAATTAAGAGAGAATAAATAATTAATATTATCAAAAGTTAGATTCAAATTTTAAAATATTTAGATCTAAGAAAATAACTTAAGTGGAAGATAATAGTGTTAAATACAAGGTTGACCAGCAAGATTAATTAGGAAATGAAGAGAAAAACCTGAGAACACAAGAATATAGGGAAGAGGCCAGAGAACATTTTCTGTTGGGGGACAGTTATTTATGGTCTCTCTTGCAATTACTCAACTCCATCATTGTACTGTGAGAGCAGCCACAGACAAAATGTAAATGAGCTTAGCTATGTTCCAATAAAACTTTATTTATGGACACTGAAATCTGAATTTCACATAATTTCCATGTGTTACAAAATTATTACTCTTCTTTTGATTTTTTTTTTTTTAAACATGAAACCCATTCTTAACTCATGGGCCACAGAAAAACACATGGCAGGCCCTGTGGACTATAGCTTACCAACCTCTAGTCTAGGGGGTAGTGGGGAAAAAGGAAGGCAGGGTATACCTGATTTAATAAACAGGGGGATATTCACGAATGTCCTTGTGTTAAGCCTAACAGTAAAGCAGCTCCCCTCTAGCATGTGTACATTAATGTCAGCCCTAATTGTAAAGATACAGATATATTTCACTGTCCTTTAACATGAAAAGAGCTACAGAAACAGAATCATTGATTCCAGGCAAAAGAAATTCTCATCAATAATGGTATGCTACTCATAATTTAAAATAATTCTACAGAATCATAACAAAAGACGCATTTTTCATTACCATTTTGTCCCTGAGTCGCTCTCCACGGATAAAAAAGTCAGCACAGCCATTCTCTTCCTGGTGAGGGACTTTGAAGACAGTGACGCAGCTTAGTCCACTCCCACCAAGAGGTAACCATCCACCACTTGAGTCATCCCGGGTCATCACCACAGCTCGTACTTGTGCATAACTATTACTAAAATAGATGCAAAGATAAGAAATTAGCTTTCCATAAATATAAACCAACCAAGCTGTCAGTCTTCTTGGAGAAACCAAGGACTAGTTAATGTGTGGTAACTAAAACTTGAGTGTTTATTACTTCCATGACAGTCCACAGAAAGTAACCTACTTACAAGATATCAAACATCACAAACTAACTTAAAAGATTAACTTTTATTTTGAAGACTAAAATCACAATAAAAGACTACAGACACCTTACTTCAATTCATCATTTGAGTAGTTCAAGCACATTTGATTGCCATGGAACAAGTTATAGAGGACCCTGTAGACAAACACACTATATGGATCTCCATCAAACTTGCCATGTATGTCCACCTGTTACAATACAATCAGGACATATTACTGCAGTATTTTAGCACATTTAATTATGACATCTCCTAAGTTTCTAACATTTCTGGATTACAAATAAAATGCTAAAACAAACATGCTTAGCTCAGATGCCACATTTTTTATTTCTTCTAACTGGGAATCTAAATCACGTATCATATAAAGACAAATGTCTATTTCAGTAACTTATCAAGCAAACTGATCTATAGAAACCTTTCATGCTCTCTTCTTTGCAGTCTCTATTCTTAAGACTAAGTTTTAGTTCCATTCAGAATCATTTCCCACTGTTAACCATAACTATTCTTTATGCAAAACCTAAGAAATGTGTTTCACATACTACTGCTCTAGATCACTGACATCTAAGCACTTTAGTTCTAAAAATTTCGAAAAGTAGTACACCTTGATGACTTCCTAGGAAATTATACTGAATGTAACTTAAACTTGTCTTGGTTATTATGAATATTAACCGAAGTTCTACACAAGTCCTGTGCTTAGTGTCTCTGCATATTCTAACTGTTAGATTGCCAGCTGTCATTCCTGTTGATATTAGTGCTTGTCCAAAAATCTCACCAGTGTTTTTTTACTTTAAATATTTATTGTATTGAGGTATACTTAACAGACAATAACATATACTGACCTTAAATATAAAGTTCAACTTCTAACATACATACATATCAGTGTAACCAATATAAGAATCAAGATATAGAAAACTTCTGACTCCAGAAAATTCTTCCACCCTCCCATCAAAAAGGTAATCACTATTCTGATTTCTAACATATTTAGTTTGTTTATTATGGACCTTCATATAAATGGAGTCAAACAGAATCACTATTTGTACCTTTTTTGTCTGACTTCTCTCACTTATTACATTGTTTTATTAGTTTATTCTTCTCTACTGCTAAACTGTCCTTGTTACTGAATGTCATAATTCATTTATTCTTTCTTATGTTAATATCCATTAACATTTGGATTGTTTCTAGTTATTGCTACTGTTTATAAAAATTCTTATATAAATCTTTAGGTTGATGTTTTCATTTCTCTTAGATAATTTGCATACAAATGAAATTGATGGGTCATAGGGCAGTATATTTAACTATATAAGGAACTAACAAGTTGTATTTCAAAGTGGTTGTACCATTCATTATACAATCCCATCAATAATGTATGATAGTGTAAGTTGCTCCACATCCTTGCCAACATTTGGTGTTTTCAGTTTTTTAGATTTTACTCATTTTAGTGACTATATATTGTTAACCCACTGTGGTTTTAAAATCCATTTCCCTGATGACTCATGATGTTGAGCATCTTTTCATTTTTATGCCTTTTTTAAGTCTTCTTATCAGTTTATATTATGTTTTTATTATTGACTTTTAAAAGTTCTTTATTTATTCATCACAAGTCTTTTGTCAGAGAGCTGTATTGTATACTTTAAAGCTGCACTGTGTTGTGGTTGAATGAGGAGTCTGAAGCCAAACTTTCTTAAGTTTGATCCTGGCTCAGCAACTTACTAGCTGTGTGTCCTTGATAAAGTTACAGTACCCAACTTCATAAAATGTAAACAAGGCCAAACACATAATAAACAACATATAAGTGTTAGTTGTTATAACTACAACAAAGAATTTAAAATTGAAGTAGTTGTCATCCTGGTAATTCAGAGCCAGTTAGGAAGGAGGAAAAAATTAAATTTATATGGCCAACCATAAATCTCTATAACTGAGATCAAAATAATTCTTTATATAGAAGTTCTGAAAGTCTTTAGCTTTATAGGTGACCATTCTGTCCAAGCTTTTTATTAATCAGTTATTCAGAGGCTCTTATTCTTGTCTGGGCCCAATTCTCACCAACATTCAACTCAGAGAAATGGTCAGAGGAGGTGTGGCTTCATAAAGGTTATATTGACATAAATATCAAGTTGGATCCTCCCCTTGGGATGGACTAGAACAAATACTTCTACTATAAATAAATAGGACATGCATCTATCCCAAGAAGCCAGGGAAATTTATTACAGTGGGAACCAGCTCAGAGGGATACAATCTGTACTAGACAAAGGTCATTTGATCAAGAATTTAAGTCTAAGGATATCCCAGAAGCATAGCACATAAATTAAGACATATTAAGTTCAGATTAAATGTTTCTGAACTGAGCACATGCATTTAAAGTTCAACACATTTGAAGTTACAGTCAAAGGTAGGGAACATGGATCAAAACCAAAATTCAAGTTCCCAATGATCATTTTTTATTTTACTATAGGCTCCTGACTCTTTATTCTTATCTAATTAAGTAAACTAGGAAATTTAAGAATTTTACCCTAGATTCCACAAGACTAGGTAGGTGTAAAATAACCCAATTCAGAAGCTCAGGTTTCAAAGTGTAGGAGTAGTTATTCTCTTTGGGGCACAGATTTTTCTTTTACCATCTTTGAATCTTACTGATTCTCATTTACAGTTTGTATAATGCTTCTCAGGCATATTTTATATGTTAAAAATAAAAGTGTGTAAGTAATATTATTAGGAAATATATTAGAAATCCTAGTTCTTTTTTTAGGATGGTGAAATTAGGTATTTTCCCCTCATTTTTGTTTCTTCTAAAGTTACTTTATAATTAACACTTGAAAATTAAAAGTAATATAAACCAATAACTCATATTTTAACTGTATCTTAGCTATACTAAAGATAAAAATAAAACTAAAATTTTTGCAGTAACAGTGTATATGTTTTAAACAAAAATATTACTGACTACCCCAGTTTCTTTTTTTTCTACTTTAGGCAAATCAGTTAAAACAAAGATTTCTTTAATGGCAGAGTAAGGTTGCCTGATTCATTGTTTACAACAAAAGAGGTTTTAAAACTGGCCAGTAATTTATATAAACTTGTTTTTGAATTTCATGTTTTGAACCATACAAAATATATTACAACTTCAAGTTGATCCCTCAAGCTTTAAAGTATTCCAGAAGTTATGTAAGTAAACTAACCATAGCCTTCATTAGTTTACAACTTAAAATGTTAGCCTAGGGGGGAGCCTCAAGATGGCAGAGTAGGAAGACAATACAGAAACCTCCTCCCACACATATACATAAGGAAGCAACTAGAGCAAATACAACTAAACCTAAAAACGAACTGAAGACTGCAGAACAGAGAACCTACACCTGGGTAAGAAGAGAAGACCACACAGAAAAGGGTAAAGTGGCAGAGACACAACGAAGTGGGACCTCAGACTTTCCCCCATCCCAGTTCCAAAGGTGGAAGAAAAGGAAAGGAGAGGGGATGGCATGGGTGCCCAGGTACTCTGCACATCTGGCCCTGGATACCTACTCAGGGAACAGGAATTCACACTGCACTGGGTTTTGGTGATCAGCAGGATTCGACACCAGGGACAGGTGGAACACTCTGCTGAGACACCACCCACCTGTAGAGGACAGGCACTCTGCTGGTCCCACTGAGACTAAACACAGAGGCAGCAATAAAGATTTGCTACAGTGCAAGGCAAGCCAGAGGGTAGAGGGTTGGACAGAGCTGTCTCTGCAGGAGAAATGGCAGGTGGATGATACCTCCCCAGCCCTCCCTCGGCCCAGTGGGTGGAGCACTCTCAAGAGCCCCAGGTGCTCCATGCCCCTTGCTGGTGGCTCAGCTCCAAGGCAACTCCTTGCATGCCACCAACAAACCAGCACACTTGGCCCAGCAGCATAGAACTTTGCTTCTTGGCAGGCATGGAGAGACTCTCCCACGCTTTCACAAGAGAGTTTCAGCCCAACTGGGGAGGTGACATCAGAAGTCAGCTCCAAAAGCTCCTTCCTCACCACAGATGGCCAGGCAGAATGCTGTGCAACTCGCTGCAACCGCTGGGGAGCACTAGCTGCCTATGCTGCAAGCAGAGTCTCCCACCACCCAACTCACTATCTCTGCTTGCCCCACCCCAACCCACCAGGCACTTTTGCTACCATCACAAGTCTATGGGGCCTTCCACGACAACTTGCTGCCTAAGCACAAATGCCAGCCACACCACCACACCACTCGCCACCACTGTCAAGCATCTGAGGGCTCTACAACCAGGTGACTTGCCACTGCCAGGAGTACATACACCCTGCCATTGTGCAACTCAACCTGTAACTGCCCAGCCCACCCCAATAACCCAGCAGCCTGGCCATCACTGTAGGGCAGGCAGAGGGTGGACCCACCCACAACTGCCCAAGCAGAAGCCACTGCTCTGATCACATACGGCCGTCACATACGGCCGGCTGAGGCAAACCACCGGCCAAGATAAACCACTGCCCGCAGACAGAAAGGTGACCCTGCACATTGCCCACCAACAGCAACTGGGGCTACACAGCAAAGGAGAAGCAGGCACTGGAAAGAAAAGAGTACTGAGCTTCTGGGCACCATGGGATGCCTTCTTCATAAATCCATTATTCTCTAAATCAAGAAGCACACCAGAACCATCTAATACAAAGGAAGAAACACAGAAACCCTGACAAAATGAGAATACAGAGGAGTATGTTCCAAACAAAACTGCAGGATAAGACACCAGAAAGAAGGCTAAATGAAAAGGACATCACCAAAGATCACTAAAGATTTCAAAGTAAAAGTCATAAATATGCTCACTGATCTGCTAAAATGTATTAAAGATCTCAGG